ACCAGAAGCTCACCTGTGAGACCATGAAGGTTTGGAGGAGAAATGATTGGGCTGGAGCCTTAACCTAATCAGTGAGTTAATCCCTGATGGGATGAACTGTGTGGTAACTGGAGGCAGGTGGGTGTGGCTGGGGGAGGTGGTTCATTGGGGGCGTGGCTCTGGGTATATATTTGTACCTGGTGAGTGGAGTCTCTGCTTCCTGGTCATCATGGAGCTTCCTCCCTCTGAAACACTCTTCTGCCATGATGTTCAGTCTCACTTGAGACTTGAGGAATGGAGTCTACTGTTTATGGATTGAGACCCCTGAAACCGTGAGACCCCCGATTTTTTTCCTCCTCTGCAGTTGTTCTAGTTGGGTCATTAAGTCACAACAGTGAAAAAGCTGACTTTTGAAATAGTGTTAAGGTTGGGGAGACAGCTACAGTATTTAAAAGGGTAGTCTTTGAAAAGGAGGAAATTTAATAAAAACTGCAAAGGAAGTGAGTTAGCCAGGCATGTGGGTTAAGAGGCCGAGGAAACAGCCAGGGCTGAGGCTCTCCAGGTGTCCTGGAGCTGAAGACGTGGCTGAAGCAGAGGGGCAGGGGTGAGTGTGGGAGAGACGAGTAGAGTCGGCAGGAGGAGGGACTGGGTAGCACGGGTGGATGCAGCAGAGCCTTTGGGGACTTAGGAAGGACTCTGGCTTGTACTCGAGTGGTACAGGGAATTACCGGCAAGAGTTTGAGCAGGTAAGTGACAGGATGGATTTCAAGGGTCCCTCTGGCAGTTGCACTGAAAAACAGACTGCACAAGGGCCAAGGTTGAGGCAGGGAGACCTTTTGTGGGGGGAGGAAGAAGGAGATAAGCAACACAACCAAGGAACACTGGTGGTTCAGAGCTGGCTGGTTACAGGAAGGAGAAAGGGCTTGACCCTGGGTACAATTCCAAGGCAAATACGACACGACTACTTGATTAGATGTAGAGTGGAGGATAATTCCCAGGTTTGGGGCCTAAGCAGTGGAAAGATCAGGAGCATGAACAGCTGGCATCCAAGAGACGGTGATTAGGCAGTTGCATACAAGTAGAGGGACCAGGAAAAAAGGTTTGTTCAAGATACAAATTTAGAGCCACGACCAGCTGTCCTACCTAAAGTTCTGGAAGAACAAGGCTAAAGATACCGTAGGTCTACTGACTCCACCAAAATCCTTGCTGTCAGATAACACAATCTGTGATATGAACTTGTTCAAGGTTCAGATTTGAAGTTTCAGGTGCATAAAAGTGCATAATAATTGCACTTTAAAAGTGTATGTGTGTATGTGTATGTTTTCATCCTCAAATTTAAATGCAAAACCAAAGGAAACTCATAAAAACAAAGTAGGAAAACCCTAAAAGTTACATAGATTTTTTAAAAAGGTCATCTGAAGTCAACTATCAATGTTTGAAATTTATTTCCACTGGAGTATGGACAACTTCCCTTAAAAAAGTTCTCTGGAATAAACAGATGATAAAGAAGACATTTTTACTTAGATCTAACACTGCTTAGCAGAGTATCACAGCAGTCAACAGTACTGTCTCCCACACTGAGTTAATCACTCCAAGTGTTATTTCACTCAACCCTCAATCCTATAAGGCTGTGTCCACTTCACATATCATTGATAGGAATGAGATTCAGAGGGGTCATATATGAGCTCGCATGGTAATTACCAGTACAGAGATGTGACTCCCAAAGACACCACCTCCGTAATTCAAACAGCAAAAGAGGTTGTGGCTCAGCAGTGGAGTGCTCACCTAACATGTGCAAGGCACTGGGTTCGATCCTCAGCATCATGTAAAAATAAATAAAGGTACTGTATTCAACTAAACTAAAAAAAAAAAAAAATTTAAAAAAGATATCTGAAGTTACACTGATTAGTTTATTTTATGTTCAAATAAAAATGTTTCTTTTAGAAAAGGTTAGATACTATTAAGTGTCCAACTTTATATAGTCAATCAGCCCTTTGCAAAATGTCATCTCCTTCCTTTTAAAAAAATAATTCAAGCTGGGTGTGACAAATGCCAGTAATCTTGGCAACTCGGGAGGCTGAGGCAGAAGGATCACAAGTTCAAGGCCAGCCTCAGCAACTTAGTGAGGCCCTAAGCAAATTAGCCAGACCCTGTCTCTGATAAAAATTAAAAATGGGTACATGGTTCAGTGATTAAGTGCCCCTGGGTTCAAACCCTACTACCAATCATCATCAAAATAATTCAGATCCCAGCCGTATAACAGTATAGGTCTAACTTTTCTTGCTGATTTTTGGGCAAGTTGATAATGATGACAAAATCAAACAACAGGCAAGTAATTTTGTGTCAGTTATTTGTACTTTTATGTTTTATCTGTAATAATGACTAGGTAGAATGATATGAGGTACTATTAGTGTTTATTAAAAATTAATTTCATGTAATAAATTATATAATTCAATTTTATATTTAAACAGTCTACACCAAAAATATCCCAGGAAACATTTTTTTCCCTTTGATAAGACATACAGTTAGCAGGCTGACATCAGCTTCACATTCTCATGGCTAAAACTGCTCCCAGTTGTACAGTTGAACGGTACCTTTCCTCACACTGCTCCAGAAGCCCATGTTGACAGCACCTGACACAACAGAAGAACATTTCCAGGTTCTGCTGAAGGCCTCAGTTTGAAATGTAGAATATTAGGTGGAAAGTGACAAAGGCATTCGTTAGCCCTCGACTCACCATCTTACGCTGTACATAATGGACAGAATGAAAGTAAAAAGCAAGGCACAAAAGGACAAAGTAGGTAAGTCAGACCTGGACTAGACCAGACCACAGGAGTCACAAAGCAACCTGACAAAGGGAAGACTGCTGCAGGGACTCTTAAAAAAAAAAACAGAACAAACCTGTAACAACATATTCAATCAATTCTTATCATCAAACTTTTCGGAGGTCTGAAATGATTTCTAATGTATTCAAAACTGGATTTTTCTAAAATTGCAAAAATAACCTCAGGCTCATGAATGTAAAACATAACAAAACCACGTGAGGGCTTGCAGAAATTAGAACAAGTTAGTGGGAAAAGTAAACCCAATTTTTATGTACAGCAAAATATGTGTGTATTCCAAAAACTTCTCTTGAGTATAAGAGATTCATGGATTATTTTTTATTGCTGTTGCTATTGTTTTCAATTGTTGATTATGAATTTAACTCTCAGAATGAGCTAATTCATTATTAAAGCAATATCACCAGTAAAACAACAGTGGCAACAAAAACACCTTTGTTTAATTTAAATTTCACTAAAAATCTATGGAAACCACAGGCATAGTCTAAAAATAAAAGCACATCTAAGCTCGAGTCTCAATGACAGTTCTTATTATGAGTAGTTAAAGAGAACCACTGCAGAATTATGTGAATTAGAATTTAATTTATATTTACCATTCTGTTCATCAAGTGCCTATTTGCTAAACAGAATTGCATTCAATAATTCATATTCTGCAACTTAATTCAACTAACACAAAAAGCTAAATAGTAAGATTTGTAGTTGTACATGGGGTTCCTGAGGCTGGAATCACATAACCCTAACCCTTATAGAAAGACTCATCTGCAAAGGATCAAGAGCCAAAGTAAGAGCATGATTTAAAGCCCTCTCCCTGCTCTGTAAGTGACCAAAACAAGAGTTCATGTTATTCCATTTTCTTTTCTGGGCAGACTCCTCTAATACAGCTCAGTGACTTTAAAACCCCAACTCCCAAATTTTAACCTGATGGCCTTGTTAATAAGGGACCACAAAGACAGGAGATAGAAAATTCTTCCCTACTGCCCCCGACACAGTTCAAGGATAACAGATTATGAGGCTAGCAATTTATAGAAAGTTATATATACACTTTTAAAGACTTTTATGTAGAAATGGGAGAGGGAGGAAGATGACCCTGGGGTGGGGGCAAAGGAAGCCTGAAGAGATAGAAGCAACATCATCCCTTCATACACTTGGTGAGTTCTGTGACCTCAGGGTCCATGTGAAGTCAGCTGGAGCAGACCTGGAATTTCAAAAACACTTGAGAAGGGAGGGGGCAGTTACAGGAAAAATTACAGTTGATTTTGTGCATCAGGAACAAAATGTTTTAGCATATCTATCACTCACACATGGGTTTATGTAATTTATCTTCAATTAGTTATTATCTATTCAGCAGCTGAAGCCCAAGAACTGCTGATGCACTGCAGATGAAGAGATGTACTCGTCCCTTGACTCTGGCCTTTCTTAATCTAAATGATGGCCACATGGTATAGATTACTTGTTCTACAAAGCAGTTTTGGCTCACACGCAGGGCACGCCGCACTGCCAGCACTTACATCTGCAGCATCGCTCTGGTCCCTTCTCGGACTCCAGGGGTTGGTTTGTGCCTGGTTCATCTTTGTTGGTTCTACAACTTAGTCCCAAATTCACACAGAAAACATTATGTAACTTTGCAACCCAGTATTTACTCCTTTGGAATGAGTTCTTGTAATTGAAATGCGTGAAACCCCCAAATATAATAGATTTTAAAATAACCTTTATAATATTTATATGAACTAAGTATTTCATCTAAACCCAGTTTTGACTTTTAAGGCTATCAAGCCAGTGTCTGAAGCATTCTGACTTAGACATTAAAGGGAGTGATCTCTGCCCAAGTTCGTGTTTAAAAGGATCTAAGATAATGCACACATCACCAACATACCAGGAAACTTTCTCGAACAGTTGACATCACCAAATCAGGAAAACTACAACCTGTGAGTCAACACAGTGTCTCCCACTGTAGTTTGAATGTATGCTGAAGGGGATGTTAATAAGTAGTATCTTACTTTAAAAACAGGTTTCTCTTTGGATTAGGACATAATCAAACTGAATTAATCTTTACTAAAGGAGTTTTCTAGAGATTTCAATATGCCATGAGCAGGTCTGCAAAAGTGTTTCCCAAATTATTTGTCTACAGGACCTTCCCCCCTCCACGTCCCCCCACGCCCCCCCCCTCAGCATCTGTCAATTGAAAAAATGCTTTACAGAGCAGGTTTGGGGAAACATGGCTTGGCAAGGTAGTGTATTCAGAGGCTTCACCTACTCCTTAGGCTATGAGGCGTTAGTCAATTTCTTAAAATTAATAAAAATCATTGTTAGTCAATAAACCTGGAATTTTAGACTCAGAATATGAGCATATGGGCACAGAAAAGAGTAATACATCCATTTATCATACAACATAATTTTTACCTCCCTAGCAAAAATATGTTACAAAATAACCTTGGTTAGCCAATCTTGATGGTGGCTGAGCACACACCTGAGCAAACTAATCAATATACAAATTTGTTTAAAGCAAAAACAGCAAGTGAAATAAAGTTTTCACTTGCCCAAATGGAAAAATGTGCAAGTTCCATAAAGAACAATTTATAATGACATGTTTAGAACTCATTACCCTAGTTATCACTTAAGGTTCTCTATGCAGTATAGTTGATAAAATTTCTAGATCTAGCTTCTTGGAGGACAGTCATGTGTTGCTTAATGATGGAGATGTGGTCTGAGATCGTTAGTGGAGCTGTTAAGTGAACATGAAAGTAATAGTTACACAAACCAAGATGGTTGTGGGCTTGGTGGAATACTCTTGTAATCCCAGTGACTCAGGAGGCTGAGGCAGGAGGATCACAAGTTCAAGGCCATCTCCAACAATTTAGTGAACCCGTTTCAAAATTAAAAATGAAAAGGGCTGGGGATGTAGCTCAGTGGAAAAGTGCCTCTGGGCTCAATCCTCAGTACCACCAAAAAAAAAAAACCCCAAATGGATATGAGGTCACTAGGTAATATAATCTTATGGAACTACTATCTAAGATGTAGTTCCTTGCTGTTGTCATGCAGCACATGACGGTAACTACTGCATAACTAAGGTTGTTATGGAAAACTCCTCTACATTTGAGGATTTCATGGATTTCAGAGTATTGTGTCTCAACTTCAGCATCACTGACATCTTAGACTGGTTAATTCTGTTCCAGGAACTGATGCATTACAGGATGCTGAGCAGCACCCATGGCCTCTCCCACCAAATGTCAATAATATCCCACGAGCTGCAACAACCAAAAATGTCCCTAAACATTGCTTAGATATAAGCAAATCATCCCTAGTTGAGAACCGCTGCTCTGGCATCTAAATGGAAGTTTACGTCTTGCCTCTGCTCCTTTGATAAGGTCTCTTACAGGCACGCTGTGACACCTGAGGGAAGGTTCAATAACAGCAGCATTAGAGATTCTGTTTGATCAGAAATGTAAGTGATTTGTGAATACTAGGAAGAAGCACTCTACGTTTCAAAGAGAATTAGAGGTGATTTTACAGTGATTATATTTCTATGAATTATCTGAACCATGATGCTTCATTGACAAATATTCTAACAATTATAAAAATGCTAATTGAATATTTTAACCTGTCAAGAATCAAAAAGATTGAGACAGTCTAAAAATAAAAAACAGCAACCATCAAGAGCTAACTCAGACCACAGTCTAGTCCTCAACTGAATATTCTCTATAAAATTCTCAATTCAAAAATTTCAGTTCTTTTCTTTAAACTGCCTTTATGTACTGTAGCCATACCATTTCTTTCAGATTATCAAAAAGAAACATTTCACACATCATGAAGAAGTATCCTGATATGTATCAAGAAGTACATTATCTAGTTTTAAAGGCATTTCTTCAATATGCACATCTTTAGTTTTGCCATAATTGTCAACTACAGATACATCGCTGTCCTTCTTTCCTTCTTTCCTTAGTGTCTTTAAACATCTGTCAAGTCTTTTTATGAACAAGTCCACATCCTGTATCTTCATCCCGATGGCTGCTGCAGCATTGAGGTAAGCACAAGGGTAATTATCTGTATGGGACATAAAGCCACTGAAAGTGTAGCCACTCACAGTTTGCACAGACCCAAGAGGCACAACCCTGAAAGGGAGAAGATTTATCAATTTAATGTCTGGTGATGTTAACAGAATGTCACCCATAAACAAGATATTTGTCTTACTAAGCCATTCATCTATTAAGAGGCTTAAAAACAGCCATAAATCATGGCCTATGCAAATGGATTGTCAGCCTTAAAATGAAATTATATAATACACTGCTATTTTACATTAAAAAGTCCTGCCTGATGATCACCATTTATTTATCATCTATAAAAGAACAACAAACTCTAGGAATCTCAAACATTTTTACATCTTCAAAGTAGAAAAAGAAAGCAAATTGTTTTTGTGCCAAATCTGGAATCTGAATTCATACATAGACACTTTAACTGTAGTGTGTCCCCTCAAAAAATCAACAAACTAAAATTCCAACTATCTGATCAGTGCTATGCAATACAGAGCTTTACAGCAAGGAGCCAGAAGAAATGATATAACCACTTACAATGGGGTGCAGATCAGCAAACTGCAATATTGAGCTCTGGCCCATGCATTTGCTAAGCTTGACATCACAGGCATACGAAGATAAAAGCAGATTTCTAATCTTTTACCTTTTTTTTTTTTTTTAAGAAGTCAATTAATTAAGATCAACCTAAATATAAAGACTAATACCAGCAATACTGAAAGTCAGGTCAAAAAAAAAACATTTTGGAAAAAGCATTTGTCAAAACTGTATTGCATACAGATAAGAGTTTATCAAAGTATAAGCTAAATTAATCTAAGATTTTCTTCTTTCAAAAAAGCTGTCCTTTGATGTGAAATTTCTACCCTCTGGTAGTCAGAGTGAAATTCTTTAACAGAAGTATGTGAAGAAAAGCATTTAAAGCAAGATACTTATTTTCAAGACATTTTTCTCTGACTTCAACAAATTTATCATGCTAAATGAGATTCATTTTCATGCTAAGTACATATTAGAGAAAAAAGTACATGTTTCCAAGGCAGTACTTAGGCAAGAATTCCATAACCCTTTTAGTTTAGGAAACAGCCATTTATTTAGCAAAATTTCACTTGAACTTAGTAATGACTTATTTCTAATATCATATATGATATCAATGAAAAATCATCTAACAAAGGAAATGGGCAAAAAACTGTAGAGAGAAGAATGAAACTGTTTCTATACACTATTAAACAAGATTCATATCTTTCTGGGACTATTTCAAGCCTAGAAAGTCTTCAGGTGCAACTACTATTCTTACAGATTCTCTATCTCATCATTCTTTGAGTACACAATGAATTCTCAGGCATAGTTTAGCATATATTTTGGGGGGGGGGCTACTGTAAGAAAAGTATTTTATTAGACTTAACTTGGAAAAGCCATTAAATATCCTAAATATCTTTTAAAAAATTACTCTTACCTGGCTCCAGAAACCTGTCTGGTAAAAAGCATTGAGCCAAGCTGAGTGACAGCTCTATCCTGGTGTTCATCTAGTGTCTTAAGTGTCACAGCTGAAAAAGAAAAAAAATATCCCTGTAAGCTCTGGTTTACTAGCACCCAAAAAAAAACAAAAAACAAAAAAACAAATTACTTCTTATTCAGTGTCTGTCAAGTGGCACATCACTTTAAAATGCACTTAATAAGGGGTTTGTTTTAATATCAGACAAACATAGTTTTATGTGAATTAATATGGTCAGAACCAGGAACAGAATTTCCACATTGCCTTCCCCAAAAGTGAGTTTTTCCAACTCAATAGATGATGCAATGACAAGATTAGTAATGGTTGTTTATTCAAACTCATCCAAGTTTTAATAACTTATAAAATGAGAATCTGGGAGATTGTTTAGTACATATTTAAGACTGTAAGATCAACTTCTTATGGAAATGATCCTTCTGATAGTATGGGGGGAAACTGTGGACATGCCTGAAGGCTGACTTACTAGATACTTTACAAACATAACCTCGACCAATTTTAACAATTTTGCATGTGAGGGATAATTATCTCTATTTTAGAGATAGGGGAAAAACTGATGAGAGGCTAGCACACAGCAGAATTGATATTCTGATATCCCAAACCAGCTTCTCTGCCTACCAGCAAGGGATTGGGATAATATTATGTTGGTGCCCACAAAGGTTTTCCACAGAAGCCTATTCTTAAAAAGGCTGCAGTTGCAAATGATTCACTTTCCATACTACTATGCCATATAAATATACATATATATTCACCAATTAAAGGGGTAATTATGAAATTAGTTAAATGCATAATTCTATATTACCATTTTTTCTTTATACAGATTAAGCTGGGCATGGCGACACAGCCTGTAATCCTAGCAGCTCGGGGGGCTGAGGCCTGAGGAGGATTGCGAGTTTAAAGTCAGCCTCAGCAACTTAGCAAGACCCCCAAGCAACACAGTGAGACCCTGTCTCTAAATAAAGAAGATCTAGGGATGTGACTTAGTGGTAAAGTGCCTCTGGGTTCAATCTCTGGTACAAAAAATAGATAGATGGATACAAACACACACACACACACACACACACGCTACGTAAGCTAAATACAGATTTCTCTAAGTAATAACATTTTAAAAATAATAAGAAAAAATTTAATTTCTGATATGTTGATATTGCTAAGTGGAGAGAGTTTTACTTATTTATTTAAGTCTGTAGTACTGGGGATCAAACTCAAGGATTCTGTTATACTAGACAAGTGCTTCACCACTGAGCTTCACCCCCAATCCTGGAGAAAGTGTTAATTATTTAGAGTTATTACTAGTGACCAAGATATTTTGGTTAGAAGCAAGACTTAAATTATTACTTTATGTATATTCACTATAAGTATCATAGTGATAAAAAGGATTCACTGATTCTGATTCAGTGGATAGATTTTATTTTTGAAATAATTAAAGCATTTCTAAAGGTTAAATTTTTTAAATTTACGAATTAATACTGCAATAAATTCAAAATAGCATATAGACAAAAAGAGTTCTTTTGCTGTAAAGACCGATTTCTTCCTAAGGAAGGATAAGAAGTAGAGATTTTCTTTTTTTAAGGAAAAAATTACCTAATGAAATGGGATTATGAGGTGTCTGCAATAATCTTTCACTGTAGGCTTCTGACAACTTCTTTAGTTGACTGGACAAATATGAAAACATTTCCTGCAATAAAAAAGTCACATTTAAAACAAATCGAATAAATATTGCAACTCATTAGTTGTATTAATACGAAATCTGAGTGTATGAAGTGTGTGCTATAAATTACTTCATTATGTGCCCTCCTTTGCCAATATAAAGAGATTCAAAGCTGCCATAACCATCAGAAACCATAGGATTTAGGTAAAGGCAAAAAACAAAAACAAAAACAAAAAATCCCAGCCCCCTTCCTGCCCTGGGGCTATGACCTGCCCATATCAAATCCATCTCTTCAGAACCTCCAGAGGTACCCACTCTAGTCTAGCACCCAATCAACTCCACCCCTTGACATGGCAGAAGAGTCCATGTGGTTTCTCTGCTTACTCCTCTGCCCCCACCCCCCACAATCTTCTCTATACACAGCCAGAGTGGCTTTCAAATGCATAAACTAGTTCCCACCACTCCTCTCATGACTTTCTCCTGTAATCATAAAAACACCACTCTCAACTCCAAGACCCCACATGATGTAACCCAGCAACATACCCAACCCAGTGACTGTCACCCCCCACTCCACTGTCCACCATCCTCCTTTGCAACCCTTTCCTGTCTGACCTTTATTATTTGCTTTCCCCACATTTCCCAGATAACTCCTTAAGTGGCCCAAAACCTTTTGTCACATCCTAAGGAGACCTTCCTTTGTTACTTCTTTATTAAAATAGCTCGACTTTCCCCACCCTCAATTCCCAGTCTCCCTCTAATACTATTCCTATTTTGTTTTCTTCACTATACTTACTACAATCTAAAATTATCTCATTTATTTGCTTATTTGAATATTGCCTATTACTGCCTATCAGAATGGAAAAACTCCTTGGAAGTACAAGCTTTTTCCACTATTTCCCCAATACCAAGAGAAATATGCCAGGCTGTAGTATACAAGTTAAGAGGTAAGTGAAGTGAGGTTACCATGGTGGTGTTGGTGGTGGGTTGTTTTTTTGTTTGTTGTTTTTGTGGTGCTAGGGATTGAACCCAAGGCCTCAGACACACTAGGCAAGTGTTCTACCACTGAACTATATCCTCAGCCTTAAAAGTATTTCCTTTAAATCACATAAAGTTAAAAATTGTCCTAGTCCAAAGTAAACTGATATCCTATAGCTGAAAATATAATAAAAATGTTTGTCTTGTTAGTGTAAAATGTCCCAAATAAAGTGGGACAAACAAATACTTAAAAATAAATTTTAAGTTGGCAATTATTTGAACCAAAATTTTACTCTGCTTTCTTCATATGGCCTTGGGACGGGTGTTCAAATGAAAACCTGCCCAAGTACATCTGCAGGTGAATCAACCCATTTGCACTGGTCCTACATCCACAGTTAAATATAAACTTGAAAGATATACCAAACTGCCAAAGCCAACAGAGTACCCAAGTGGAGACAGCAGGAAATCACACCTCTGCAACCTCAAAGGCCATAAGAACTTCTTCTGTCTGAACTCTTATCTAAGAGTTAGATACTCTGGCTGGGCCCCAAAAGGACTTTTTCATGTCTAAAGCACCTGGATGACTAACTCCATCTTTTATTAGGTAAAAATTAAAAGAACAGGAAAATTCCTTTCAATTATTAGTAAGTCTATTTATGACCACAAACATTTTACCCTTGTCAAGAGTGTGCATTTTATATTCTCACCTAAAATATATTAAGACAAAAATCATTCTTAAATTTTAGGATACTTTATAAAGATTAATTCTAAAACAGGTTAACATCTACAACTGCCACACTTAATGAAGCTATCAGTAATTATTACTATTACATGTGATAAGACTTTCTCTTTTGCCATTAAGAAAAGTATAGAGAAATATTTAAGGAGGCAAATATTATTTTCAGAAATGGGGAAAAAATGTTATAGGCATCTTTTCTTAGATAAAGATTTCTTGGTTCCTCTTTACAACAATATTCCAAACTCCATCAGAAGGTGAAATATAAAATATTTAAATGGAAACAATATGTCAACAGTTTTTAAAGCAATTGGAACAATTCATAATTTTTCAGTACCATGTGAGTCTTAACAAAAGGTAGAATTCCTGGGTTTCACTTATATATTTTCAACTACTATAAAATACCTAGGTCACTAATTTAAGTGCTCTGTATATTTTTTATTAACACAGTCACATGTTTTCATTTAGCTATTAAATGCTGATCTTATTCATCTATTATTATTCACTGAAGTCTTAATCTGCATCTAATTCTCCCTTATTCTCAAATTCATCAATCTCTCTTAAGCAGAAACAAATCTGACAGCTGGGAAATACCCTTTTCAGACCACTGTGTGTGTCCCTTCCAACACCAAAACCACCTCTGCCTTTCATTTATCCTTAAGCATTTATTAATGAAGCAAAGTTTTCTCCAGTTTATATATTTTAGTGGTAAAGACCAATTTAAAATATCATTCTATCTGGCTAGGTTACCACATTAAACACCAATGTGGTCACATTTGTAGATTAAGAGGAAGTTAATGAGTACTTAGTTTGTATTGAATTAGCTATTTCTGAAAAAAATAGGAACTGTTTCCTTAGTAACCCCCTAGAGTGTGCTTTTAAACTTACTGATGCATACATGACTATTAAAAAACTGAATTTGCCCAATGTTCAATTTCTAATACTCTAATAAATTAATTTTAGCCAGTTCCATCAATTGATAATACTGCCAAAATTCAATTTTAACTATAACTAATATTACAATTCTTCAGACTACAAAGATAACATTGAGGTAACCAAATCATACTAGTATGAGAGTAATTAGATTAAAAAAGAAGAGTATTTTCAAATCAAGTTTACATTCAACAGAAAATATTTATAGTATCTCTACACTGTGTAAAGGGTTATGATTGGCAAACCAATAAACAAAGAAGCTTCAAATATTTTAAAGGTACAATGCACTGAATTCTACAATATTCCATGTACTAAGGTCCTAAATGCTCTCCTATTAATATCACCACATTTAAAAAATATCTTTTAGGAAACTGTACTATTCTACTACACTAATACTTAGCTAAGCAATTTTTTACCTGATATATTAAAGGTACTACAGAACCTGCACTATTTTTTGCTACGATTAAATCCATAACTGACATTTATTACAAAATACTTCTGTAAAGGAAGAAATTTATAAGCAACCCAAGCAAATGTATATAGAAGGATCTTACTTAAAAGAAATGAAATATTATTGATTTTCTATGTCCTTTGTGCTGTACATAACAATTTTAAAAGACTTTCACTAGAGATAAACTGAACCGTATGCCTAAATGCTAATGTCAGCTATATTTCTAGGATAAAAATACAAAACTTACACCATAGTTCAAGATGTTAATGGAAAATAAGTTGAATTATATTAAGCATTATCTTTCATATGGCCTTTTGCAAGCTGATTTGCAGTCACGAAACCCGACATCCAGACTATCCCTCCCCATAATCCAAAGATGTGCATAACAGCTAAATATTAAAGGAAAGGGTCTCAAGTGATGATGTCTTTTGAAACATACTGTTTCATGTTCTAGGATAAAATTAAAATGGTACTTCAGATATTATTTCATTATCTCCTAGAACGGATAATAAATCAAAACAGAAACTTGACATGTAGTATAACATCTCGTCGATGACCTGAACACATGGATGGAAGACACTACAGGTACATTTTCACACACACTGATGTCCATATTTGAGGCAAACAGTACTAAATGTGATGTACTGTTGTCCATGGCTGGCCAGTGCCAAGAATCTGCAAGGGCTTGCCTCTGAGGCAAAAACACTGCTCAAATGGTTGAGGCTTCATATCCAGGCCTGAAATCTGACACTTTTGGATATTTAACTGTACTACTTTTAGAGCTGCAAATTTACTCATGTTTCCAAATTTTGCTCTGTTACAGGACACTGAGGTTGTATCTGGTGCTCCCTTAGAACTTAGTTTGTCCTCCAAGCTTCAGCTCACAAATTCTAGCCTCTGAAGCAGCCATTTGGCTGTCATTCTTCTTCTGTGCTTGGCCAATTCAGCAGATGTTTGCAACAATAAATGATTACCTGCCTGCCCTGTTCAGCAAAGCACTTTTATAAAAGGAAAGCTAAGCAGAATAATGGTTTTCTCTGGAAGCAAAACAAAGTGAGGATAAACTTCTAAGCCAGATCTTTCTTTTTGCATAGAAAAACTCAAAAGAAACAGTCTCTTAAATTTTAACCTCTTTCCTTAAAGTTGTCTCTTCCATTAAAACTCCTGGTCATCTCTCCCCTCAATGAAACAGATGTGCTGCTCAGGAAGGGCCTAAGGGCAAAGAGGCTCAATTCGCACACAAAGTCCCACTTTCTCTGATCCTTTCACCCTTCAAAAAGGAAAGCTTGAGAAGAAATGGCTTCAAGCTGAGTTCTTGTCTGTCTCTACTGTGAAAAAGATAAAGCCTTTCCTGAAGAGAGATAGCTAGATGAAATAACCTCTAAAAATATCATTGTGGTGAATAAGGGCACAGAATAAAAAGAAATGCGAAGTTTTCCTTTAACACTCCTTTTTTTAGTAGGCATAACACCAATAATATAAAAAGGAGCTCACAGTGATGGTATATAAATAGCTCTGGCTGGAGCAAAATAGCTTTGCCTCAGCTTCTCCAGAGCTGAACCAATAAACTATCACGATTAAATTTTCACAGTTCAAAACCAAGTCCATTTATACACAAAGAGGTTTTATTTCTGCAACAAATCCAATAAAGAAACAATATTTATGCTACATATATGCAATTATGGTTTATGGAGGACAGCCACATTTTTCAACAGAAAGACCTACCTATTGAATGAAGTTGTTAAAGAGCTAAGTTTTATTTATAACAACAGTTCTCAAACAAGTATTTTAACACTTAGAAAACTACTCTTATAGATAATCCGTTCTAAATAAATTCTACACATAGAAGTTTAAATAAAACCAATTATTACATTAGAGAGGCTTTGAGGTTTTTAATACCTCCACTAGACAGAGTAGGAAGGTCACAAGATC